TGATTTGATTTTTATATTAACATTACATTATATTGGCCATAAAATGAATACCATGGTGTCGTAGGAGAATAGGGCGGATTAAGAAAATTTTACAATTATTTTATTATCACTGGGAAAATTTGAAACTGTTTTTTACGATTAAATAAATCCTGCAGAAAAATATTCTTTCTTTTTTTCGTAAAAATAAACCTATTAGGCGTATGAATCTGAAGACCCAAAGACTAATTTGTGGTGTAATTTATTAAGAACAGTCACATGTCACTAATGCGGGATGCATCAGAAATTCTATTTTCTCATTATTGGGGGATGTGTAACCTCATATAAAATGCTATACGGAACTTCCAATATCTTAGGATTTTAATTAGGGAGCATATTCCTATTGACTTATATTCCGCTTATCGTAGCATATTTGCTGAAAAATATAGAACGAATTAACCAGGAAAGAAGAAAAAAAATAGAGAATAGCAAATATATTCATTTAACAGATTTAGTTCAGAATAATAATTTAATCCATCTGTGATAATCCCAAAAATATCTTTCCATTGACGACCTTTTAGGAATAAGAGCTGCCCTGTAAAAGATGTGTAAATTACGCAAATAATATAATGGGAAGGAAATTTTCATTTATCTTGAATTATTCTCATTTATTTTTATTTATTTCTATTTATTTATTCTTATTTATTTTTATTTATTCTTATTTATTTTCATTTATTTTTATTTATCTATTTTTAACGCCTGCATTGCGTAGTAATCTTTTTCTTTTTTTCCAACTACTATTCTGCTCATCTTATTAGTGACACATTCCATTTCCTAATTCTGAGCAATTAAAGATTGCATAATTGTATGATGGCATATGTCATAACAGATATGTCTCAGGAGGGAACTAATTTTAGATCATACTATGTAATTCTTTCATAAAGAGCTAGCACAAGAAATGCCACAGTTTCGCAATATAACGCCCCTAGCAAATTACCCTAATGATCATCCAAAGGGGCGTCTCCAATTATTCAATGCACAGAAGACATCCATTCTACGTCAATGCGGAGAAGAATTTCGAATGTGAAGGGATGGCAAAAATAGTCCTCCCGAAAATGGCCTCACATCTAGGCTCAAAATACTATAAATGAACCCGCATTTCGGCTTATAAGCTCCGTAGGATTTTTTTCTTTAAAAATTACACTTCCAGCGTCGTGAAGTGTTGACCTGTACCATTGTATCCTACGATAACGCATAGAGTCCTCGTGATCCGAGTCAATATTATCGACAAGAGGTAACCTCCATTAGTCCGTATTAATATATGCATAGTATACTATAAAAAAAGTTATCCCCCTTCGCATTCTGCACCAATTCGTCCGATCTCTCCTATGAGGGACAGTGCCCTTTCTAGGGAGAATTAC